GAAACCCTGTTTGGAAAACATTAAATAAAAGAAAAAAAAGGAAGGAAGGAAGGAAGGAAGGAAGGAAGGAAGGAAGGAAGGAAGGAAGGAAGGAAGAAGGGAGGGAGGGAGGGAGGAAGAGAGAGAGAGAGAGGAAAGAAAGAAAGAAAGAAAGAAAGAAAGAAAGAAAGAAAGAAAGAAAGAAAGAAAGAAAGAAAGAAAGAAAGAAAGAGAGAAAGAAAGAAAACACTGGTATCTGCCATTGTAGACAAAAGAAGTTAAAAATCTAATCTAATGCAGAAACTTGGAACATACGTAGCTCAGTTGGTAGAGTGCTTGCCTAATACGCATAAGGCCACACACACACCGTAAGTTTTTTAAATGTCTATCTAGTGCCAAATATTACCTATGGGATTTTTTAACCTAGATTTGTTTTATTTTATGAATGAATTTTTGACCTGCACATATATACATATATCAACTGTGTGCTTGATGCTTCAGGGATAAAAAAGAGGGCATGGGGTCCCTAGAGCTGGAGTTACAAATAGCTGTGAGCTGCCATGGGTGCTGGAAACTGAACCTGGTTCTTCTACAGCAGAAAAAATGCTCATAACCTCTCCAGCCCCTACCTGTGAGATTTTATGACTTGTGTTTGGTACTATTAACTCAGTTAGTAGTATTTGTTCACAAGGGAGTAAATAGCACATAAAAAGAGAAATTGATGTAAAAATAGCAAATTTATAAATTTTCTGCTCAAAAGAATAGAAAATAAATTTAAATGACAATTAAAGAGATTTTAAAACTGTCACTTTTCTATTGAGTTGAATATCGTTTTTCATTAGTCATTTTGAAATTCTCATATTTATTTATTTCATAAAAGCTATCAAATACTTTAATAGTGGGGCTATACCACAGTTTCTAATCAATGTATTTTATTTTTAAAAAATATGTTCAGTTCATAAGTCTACAGGCAAAATATGAAGATTTTCTCCCTTTTTGTATCCTAGGCTGGCCTCAAATTCACTATGATCTTAAGTTTCTGATTTTGCCTCCACCTCTGGGTGGGAAGGTTGGGATTATAGGCATACACACTGATTTTCTGTGGTCCTGGAATAAAACTCAAAAGTCCCTGTATGCCAGGCAAATGTTCCACCAACTGAGCTATATTTCCATCCCCTAAATTATGAACTTTTAGATGACATGCATTTTTTTTCATTCCTCTTAACATGTTGGTCATATTTGTTCACCTAAGATAAAGCTGATTTTTTTCTTTTTCTTTCTTGCAGCTATTGTTTAGATTTTTATTTATCTAGTCAGACACTAACTTTTAAGCTTTCAGATAGTATATCTGTCTGATATACTACTTCTTCCAGGGTTTCCCCCAGGGAACTATAAATCTGCAACAAGAAGGAGGTAGAAGTATGGGTAAGTGGGTAAGAAAAAAAAATGCTAAGAAAAGAGTCCCTGTGAAAGACAGTATGTGACAGAATATTTCATGTTTTAAGCTATTCCAAATATTTTGTGTCTTCTAAATGGTCACTCCTTAAAGCTTTACCCACCCAGATGACCTTAATTAAACTTGGTCCAGATTTATGAAGACTATAAAATTAGGAAACTTTAATTTAAAAAACAATCCAGCAGCCCTGGATGGTTTCCCAGAGCACACCCAGCATTACTTAAGGCTTCATTGTTACAGCTGGTTGGAGAGATCATAGCCACAGCGCCAGCCAGGTCTCCAAGAGTTCTGTGACTGATGCCTAATGGAACCAATTTTCACTCCAGCAGAACAAATTCAAGTTCAATACTAACTTGAATTCGTTGCCTTCGGATGCTAGGGATCAGATCTTTGGAGAGGAAATTGTATCAACGCCTCTGTCTATTAAGTGATATTCCATTTATTTCATCTAAATAGCTAGCAGGAACCATCGACAAGAGTCAAGTCTAAAACAGAAAACAAATCTTGTTTAATTGTGGAATTTTCTCTATTCTGTTTTTAGCCTTCTTTCTTTCGTCTCCTTCCTGGTCTCCATTTTCTACAAACTCCGCATCTCAACTGTGGACCACTGAGCTTTCTTAAGCAAGAGGGAGCACCCCAGTGCCTTCCCTCACCTACACTAACAATCACATTACAGTCACAGGCCATTGACTGTCACTCACATTTTTATTACCCCGAGTTTGATGAACATTGATACACTTGCATGTCTCCCTCTGCACCGGAAAGAAAAGTAATAATTTAGATAGAATTCTAAAAGTTAGCATGTTTTGTCAATAGCTTCATTGTTCCTCCTGTTCATTCATCACTGCTCGCCTGCCATTGAAATCCTTCCTCCCTGACATTATTAAAGTCAGTCATTATTAAAGTCATTTCAAAAAGAGATACATGGGCCACTTCTAAGATATTGTCAAGCTGGAATCATATTTTCAGTACTTTATAGTGTATTGTATTTTCAAGCATCCGAAGCAAACACAATATTCTTGCATATTTCCTGTGATAGAATCTCGTGTAGACAATGATGATGAGATAGGAAAAGCGATGCTTATCACATGATTTTGGCATCGTCCCTTCTGATAACTAAGATGCCCTGAGAAAATCAGCATCAGTTTTCCTATTATGAAACAAATTAAGTGCATGAGCTGTGAGTTCTTATATGCCTTGTACTTGTGAGAAGAAGAAAAAAAAAAAACCACTTAATAGTTGTATCTGTATTCATTCAGTTTCACTAAAATATCACTTGGGGATATAATTTTATAAACAACCATACATTGTTTTACAAGACCATTTAGGAATCCTTGAATTGTGTCCATCTCTCACACATGCACAAATTTAATTTAATTAAAACTTCATAAAAGGCCCAAAACACAAAAACTGCACAGTTCCTAATTTTCCAACCCTTTTTTCTGTAGGCATTAAGTAATTTAAACCAGATAGTTCTAAGTTGTTGGTGGCATACAGCAAAGTGAATAAGCCTGTCTCTTTATGGGATGCACACACTGGGCAGTCATTTTCAATTACCATGATGTAACTTTACAAAATATGACTACAAATGGGAAGCCATCCTTCTGAACATTTGGAACGACTGTGGCATACTTTTCAATATCTTTTGATATTTTGATACAAAAACATGGCTTGAACAGTTCAGTAATGTTATTTCCCTTTTAGTTACAAAGCAATAAATTCAGAGCAAAGACAGTTGTTTTATTTGCTAACAAATGCTCTTTATAATATAAAGTGCATACTCAGGCAGAAATAAGGTAGGTCCCAACTCCAGTGAAAACCGAAACACGGGCCTAGACTGACCAATAGCGTCAAGTCTACATAAGTCTGCGCATGTGTACTAATCTGTGCACGCTCATATGTGAGTAAGCAAACACACCAGCGTGTGTTGAGGGGTGAGGGTCAAAAATTCATGAGTTTTCTCATTTAAATTTATCGTCTCTTGTCCCAGAAACAGACCAGAGTACTATAAAGTACTATACACATTTTCTGTTAATAAAATTGTGATCCAAGTTTTGCTTTACATCAAAATTAGTTCATCTTCACACAGAGACACGGCAAATGCTTTCGAAATGAATTCATGAGCACTACCTCTCAACCGTACAAACATGTTAGAAGACTTCCTGCCCCTCTAACATTTTGTATTTTAAAAATGTTCTAGGTTTCAAAGGACAAAAAAAGAAGTGAAACGCAGCCTCCATCCATCTTTCCCTCCCCACTTCCACAGTTTCACCAAGTAATTTATCTCGGCTTTACTTTTTTTAAATAAAGGTCATTCTCCAGGCTTTCTCTTGCCTTCCTCCCCTTTCTATCGCCATGAGCACACATTTGGGCGGTGAGAGAGAGTGCCTAAAAGGGAGGGACCCTTAGGAGAGGGAAGAAGGGACCCACTATCCTGGGACTTGCTCACTTGACCCTCAGCGTTCCCCATTCAACCCCTTGCTGCTCTCCTCCTTTCTCTGGCGGTTCCTCAAGGGCCTAAGCACGTCAGGTCCGCACGCGGTAAACCCAGTTTTGCTGAGTGCAGCACCTAACCACTTTGGTGGTTTCCCCATGGAAAGCTGCGAGAGGCGTCTGTGAGTGTTCCTTCTGGTCCTTCACGTACGTAGATGCTCAGAGCCCCTGCACAGTCGAGCCAACCCAAATCCCTACCCTTCCGGTAGATCCACCGACCGAGCAGGCGCTCTCAAGGAATGCCAACACTCAAATGCCACCCACTGCCCTCTAGTCACAGCGAGAAAGTGCTGGATGGGGCTCGCCTGGAGCACGTGGCCTGCGGTGAGAAGCCCGGGAAGAACCTGGCAGTCAGGGCTGCAGCATGAGCCTGGATCCCCGCCGGGCTCCCTACGTGTCCAAGTCTCCCCAGCAATCCAAAGTGCAGATCAATTTCCCTGTCTACCAGAAAGATAGCTTTTTGCTGAAAAGTGTAGTGTGTGGGCGGGGGGAGCGAGGGTGCTCACGACGGTAAGGAAAGGAGGAAAGGAAGTGTGCTCTCATGTTATTTTTTTTTTTCTTCCCTCCATGTGCTTCCAAATTAAAAAGTTGCTTCTTAGGCGACAGGCCTGCGGTTTTCACAGTGTAAAACGGATTAGTGGGCAAGCTCCTGCCCTTCTCGACTTTCGCTTGCGGTTTGCAACCCCCGGGGCGGGTCTGACCCCGCGGCACCTGCCCAGGCGAGCTTCGCCCACAGCTGCCTAGCGCGTGGACTCCGCTTCTCCGGCGCCAGCACCCACCCCGGGGACCGTCGGCCTCCCACCCCGCGGGGCGGAGCCCAGGCCCAGTGCCCAGGGGGAGGGGAGTTCCCACGGTGTGGATGATCCGCACGCCCAAAGCCTGCAGCCGGCCTTCAAGCCGTAGCGCGCTCGCGTCCTCGTTCTCCTCCGTGACTCCTGGGTCCTGGGTGTACCGGAGTCTAGGGACCGCCTGCAGTCAGCCGCACGCTCCCAGGCGCCGCCAGGAATGGGTCCAGGGGGAATTTGCTGAGACCACGCGGAAACCTGATGGCTTGTTTCTTGCTTGTTCAAAGGCTTTCCTCCAAGAATCTGGAGTTCGTGGAGGGCACTTCCAAGAGGCGTTGAGTTCTCACACTCTTACCAGTCGGTTCAAGGAAGAAAAATAAAAGGATAAAGTATCCGAGCTGAGTTCGCTGAAGCTGAGATGCACGAGACGTGCTTTCCCCCCACGGGCACCTGTCCACGAGTTTGCAGAGAGTGAGAAGATTCCGGGATTGGCCAGTCTCATCCCATGCTCATGTCTACCCTTGGTGACCCTTTCCTTCTACGTTTAATAAACAAAAGTAAAAGGTTGCTTTCCAGATACAGAGACACCCTTCTGGTCTTACCGCCTCGGCGCGGGATTTAGGCATCTTCTTACACTGCAGGGAATTATCAGGATGACTTGTCGAGATCCATAGTGGGGCATCCACAAAAGAGGTCCTGCTGGTGGTGGGGCCGAGGGTCCAGAAAATAGCAGCAGTAAGAGACAGGCTCTGGGGTTCTGAACCGTCAGGCCTGTTTTGCTTAGGGGTCACTTAAGCCGGAGGGTGGAGCGGGGACTATCCGCCGCCACCCACGGCCGCTGGCGCGGTGGAGAAGCAGACGGGTTCCACTTTAAGAGTCCGGGAACGCCTGACACCTGCAGGGGGCGCTGCTGCCTCGCGGTTCCTCCCGCGCCAAGGCACAGCAGGCTCGGCAGCTTCCTGGCCTTCGTCCCCGGAGGGGGTGGGGACGCTAGGGGAGGAAGGGCGCGAGTGCCGCCGTTAGGTAAGGAACCCGAGCTCTTCTGGATTGCGAAGCAGCCTCCGTGAGGCGCTTGCTGCGTGGAGCTTTCCATCATTCGGCCCAGAAAGGAAGTGCAGGCAGGCGCCCTCCCCTGCCCCCACCGCCTGCCTTCCTGCCTCCCTCTACCTCTGTTCTCCGACCCCGACCGTGCTTCCCAGACCCTTTGTTCTCCAGGTTGGGAGCGGCTGGGTGGGTTCCCCAGGGAGGAGGTGCCCCTGCTGCACACGGAGGGGAAGGGATTGTCGCCTGGCTTCCCACCCGCAGCCCTCGCGCCCTTAGAGTCCCCGGCGCTCCACCGCCCCTTGACTTAAGCTGCTCCGGGCCGGCTTTTCCTCCCCTCTTTCCACGTCGCCGCCTCCCGGGTCTCCAGGAAGAGGATGGGTAAAGACTGATGCCGGGGGCTAGAGAAACCACGTCTACTTCCCGGCGCTGAGAAGTCCCAGGGACCCTTTTGGGCCCGAACCTCCAGCGCCCGCCGCAGGTCGCTGGGGACGTCCTCGGACCTTGGGCGCAGGGTCCCGGCAGCCAGGCGCGGCGCGGCGCGGCCTCTCGTAGTGAGGATCCAGGGTCCCCAGTGGGGAGAATGGGACAGTGTATTTCGCGCCCGGGAGAGTCTGATTGCAAACGAAAGCTCTCACCACACCACACCACCCTCGGCGGCGCCACCCGCGTCGCCTCTCTGCCGCGCGTGACCCCAAGGGCTTGGGCGATTGTGTCTCCCTGAGTACAGTTACAATTGTGTTCAGCTTAATTTCTTACTCGGATGGAGGCGTCTCACCGAGTAAAGCGCGGGGAGCAGGATGTGGGGGAGGGGAAACTAGAGCGGGAAACTACGGGGTGGGGGGGATGGGAGGGCAACTGCACAGTAAATAGCTCCTGCGGGTCCCGGGTCCGAGGTGACCAAGTAGCACAGCTTATCCAGGCCCAGGATCTGGGCCCAGCAGCCGCAGCGCGGCCGAGCCCTCCCCAACCTCGGCCCAGTGCACGAATCTCCTTTAGAGTGCCATCCACACTCCCTGCACTCCAGCACGTTTGCGCTAGGCCGGGTGTGGGGGAGGGCTCCTTACGAGCAGGGTGTCACCAAGTAGGTGCTGCTGCTGGAGCAGCGGCTCGGCCTGTGGCTGTCAGCTCCAGGCTTCCTGGAGCCCCCTCCCGCCTCCTAGCTTGACCCAGGTCCTCACTGGCTGGTCTAAAGGCGCGCTAGCAGTTCTCTCCGCAGCGGGTTCCGGGGGACACACCCCGTCCCCACCCCCGAGAACTAGCGGCCAGCTCGGGATGCCAGGCGACCAGACGGGCGCCCTGCCAAATTCCGCGTTCCTCTCTAGGAGACGGGGAATTGCGTCCCAGGCTCGGGAAAGCCCGCAGTTCGGGCTTGGGACTCGCTTGCAAAGCACACCCCCCACCCCAAGGCGCCAGGGACGCCTCTGCAGGTTGAATTCCTGCTCCGTATCACTTCAATTTTAATTAATCTTTTAAAACACCGCTGTCACGTCGCTTGCAGAAAATTAATCAAACTTGAATCCTTGTTGCATAGCAAGAATTTCGATCCAAGTCTTTTAAGAAGGACTTGACTTTGCAAAGTCACGTCTTTTACGGTTCCCTCATTCCCCCTTTAGCAAGGGAAATACTGCAAAAGTCAGGACATGTTTGCTTCTTTCTGTCTTTAAAATGAAACTCTGCTTATTTTCTGGTCTTTATTTTCCCATCTTTGGAAAAAAAAAAAGTTAAGCGATAAATTGCCTACCTCTGTTAATTCAAAATATAATTAGTTTGAATGATCTTTGTTTAAGAGCCCAGATAAACTAAGATAATCTTAATTTTAATGTGACACGACCCCTATTTTTCCTTGTGAATAATGAGAATAAAGAAGTCATTAATTAATACCAAGGTATCTCCATAGAAGATGGTATCTGGTAGCGCTGAGACACTGAAACATCGGTTGTATTAGTAATTGATACTGTATAATTGAACATGGAGATAGTCGTCTGTTTTTAACCTCAAAGCTCGGAGTTTATTTGGTGATTACTGAGCTTCTAATAATTAATTTTAGTCCCTTCTTAATGCAAAAATAATTCTTACAATTCCTAGTTCCCATGCAACAGAGGCTTCTCATTAAAACCCACCCCTCAAAGTGATTGTGAAGCTATATCATGTAGCAACCCTTTCTGCTCCATTATTTGTAATAAATTTGCTCTATTTTCATATCCCATTACATTTTTCCCTTTGCTGTAATTTACCTACTAAAGGACAAGAATGTAACTATCGTCCTCTACTACTGCTTTGTCTTCCTCCTGGAGTGGATTAGTTCAGCCTCATACATGAATCCCAAGACTTTCAGTATTTTAAGTTTCTAAGATTTGAAAATGAATTCCACTGAAGAATCAAATGTTTTGTACAGAGTGGTTGCCACACACCAGACTCTGATCAAACCCACAACCTGCATTAGCTTACACTTTTCTGTTATTAAAACAGACTGCAAAACACGTTCCCCCTTTCCAACACGAACTGAGAAACAGCTATTGCAATTTCCTGGGCTAAATTTAGTGTTAACACAACTTTTGGCATTAATATAAAAATCCTCTCCAAAGTAATAAGGTCTTCCAAATAACAATGGATGTTTAAACTCAAGCTTTAAAATGTCTGGTTATTTCTCACCATGAATTTGCTAATGGCCCTGATTTTTAACCAATAGAAGGGCTATGATATTTTTCTCTTACAAAGAAAAAAAAAAATCCTCCTATACCTTCCTCCAAACATGTGTCACCCCAAGTAAGTATGAAATATTTCATACCACATTAATATTCTTAGTACCTACCCTACCATATCCAAGCATCTTACTTAATTGTCAGCACTAGTCCTGAAATGGCTGGAAAGTAGTTCAGTTTCACACTTTAATTTCCCTTTTACTACAATTAAAACTTTGGGTCAGTATATGCTGGCATAATTCTCTTCTCTTGGATCTTATATTTTCCCACTATAATTTAGGCTGAAATGGGATTAAAACAGGATCTAGAGTTCTAATCTCGGCTGATGTTTTGGTGCATTCACCGTAATGAGTCCTATTCCCTGCGGTCATGAAGCTCCCAAATGTCAATCAAGCAAACTGATTCAGAAACGCCATTGTTCGGCTCCCACGTCACTCGCCTTCCTCTCATTTTATTGAACAATACCAGAGTTCTCTGATCAGTCATTCGGAATATGAGGCATTATCTGGGGAAAATTCACAAAGTGTCTTGATCTTTCTTTGGGAGATACTGTTAAGGGGCTTGGGCAAGGCAGAGTGCTTGTTTATATTTCTGTCTTTGGACCGCACTGTGGCTAGAAAGAAGCAATGAATACCTCCTAAAAGAAAATCATACCGTAAATCCGTCAAAAATTAATTCGTCCAGTCGAATGTTACATTTCTATTTTCGTGTTGGAAGCGTTCTGATTTGTCATCTGGGAAAGTATCATGGGGTCGGGGTCCAGTTGACATGCCCCCACATCCAACCCCCTATGTTTCACTCATTTAATAATACTAATGTGTTTACACTAGTTAACTAAGAATTTATTTGGGAGCGAGGAAGAGCTAAGCTTCACTAGGAAGCTCTCTCCCCTGCCCACTCAGGCGTCAGAGCGTCTCTGCCACTCGCTTTTCCCAGTCACAACCCTGGGTCATTCATGCCTGTGTCCCCGCCTCGCGACAATTCCCAAAGCCGAAGGCATCAAGAGTGTTACCAGCTCCAAACAGCCCAAATTAATAATCAACTTAATTCATGGAGGACTCGAGCCTTTATCCTCAGTTCCCTGAAGGCACCGGGTATGGAGCCCGGCTCCTGCGAGGACTTCCTTGCAGGGAGGCAGGCGTGCAGGGACAGATGTCAGGGGAAAAGCGATCGATGGAGACTTTCACCTACAGGGTTATGGGCAAGGAAGCACGAATCAACCCTCTCAATCCTCTCGCTCTGGGTTCTTATATCGGAATTCCTGCAAACGCGACAGTCTTGCAGGCTCGGGCTATTGGCGCTTGCAGCAGCACCCTTCGCCACACGCACACGGCGCGCGCGTCCTCCGCGCACACTTAGAGCCGAGGTGAAAAGCGAAGGCCGCAGAGGTGGGGACAGAAGGTGGAGCCACTATCGGGTGGGACGTGATCGATCACTTTAAAGTAAATGGTTTAAAAAAAAAAAAAAAAATCCCAGGCTACCCTTCGGAAGACAGAGGGGAAGCTTCCCGCGGCCTGCACGTTTCTGCTCTCCGCGGCTTCCGAGCAGCGGCGCCAGGCGTGGAGGTCTCGGAAGCCTGGTGGTGGGACCCGGGACCCCAGGCTCCAGCCGACTCCACGGGTCGAGCTTTACACAGCCGGCCGCAGGGCTCCTCCGGGAGGATCGGGCTCCCCGGGCACAGACGCGCGCGCGTGCAGCACGCCGCGTGCGCTTTTCCCTTTCTCAGCAAGCGGGAAAGGCCTGTTCTCCCGGCCAGCTGAAAGCTGCTGGCCTAGAGGCCCCAGGGTCTGGGAGGAAACCCGAGCTCCCT